GGGGGGCTCAGTGGATTAGTAGGCTCTGCTTTTATGTATGTAGTGACCACCATATTTGATCGACGGATCAGTAGATCTGAGGATCATCTGTTTTGAATGGCCTCTTAGGGTTCGACCTATTTATTGGTGAGACACGCTGTGTGACGCTGACCTGTACGGATCTAATGGCGGTCAAAATTCTGTCACACGTACGGACCCTAACTTTCTTCACCCGGGCGTAACTGTGTATTGAACATCATATGAATACGTGGTCTGCAGTGTTTGTAGTGTTTGTCAACTTTTTCATCCTTTTGAGAAAAAAAAACATTTTGTGTTGCTTTTTTTTTACTTTTAACGTGTGGCTATGAGATATTACGACTATATATTGTGAGGTACACTGTACAGTGCACTTGTGTTGCATTATCATTAAAAAACCGTTCTTCACCACGCCTCATGACTGAAACATCTGACAGTTTTCATATCCTCCTGTTGTTCAATCCTTCGCTTTTTTTTTTCTCCGCTGATTGATCAGGGCGCTCTCGTAAAAATAATAGAAATACACTTTGGATCACCCATTACTTTCAACGTAATTTACAGCAGGGTTTTAATTGATACGGAATTATCTCTCCCTTCATCGATTAATTTCATTTCCTATCATCTACATCTGGTGACAGGCCGCGGCTTATTTTTCACGATTGTTCCCATAGCTATCCCAGAAATTTGAATTACCGTAAAAAATGGAATCAATTTGTCGATATTCGCGTAACTGCTCGTTACTGTGAGACACAATAATATTGCGGGTATAAATGTAATCACAAGGTCATAAATGCAATCACTGGATCGTTAGACGCCCTGTTAACATCGGTTGGTTATTATTTTCAACAGCTGTTTTCTAGTCATTAGGTCTAAGAGACATTATGTTCGATAATACACGTCAAACTGTTTAGAGCTAAATAGCTTGGAGTCAAGTTCATTCCCAGATTTATTTAGAACGAAAATAGTCAAAGTGTACGAATCCTCTGCACAGAAAAGCCATCATTTTGCTGGTATGGTATCATCTCATATGAACAATGATAATTTTAATGTTCTTTTTCATGTTCTATGTAAGGCGCAGGAAAAATAGATTGATTAGTTTTCTGACATTCCGCTTGTTATATTGATGAGAGGGGGAGAAAGGGGATCTTACGGTATAAGAAGCTGGTTGAGGTGTGCCACCAATACGCCCAACCTGAATCAGAAGAATCTGTGTACATCTCTCTCTCTCTCTCTCTCTCTCTCTCTCTCTCTGTGTGTGTGTGTGTGTGTGTGTGCGTGTGTGAGAAAAGAGAGAAAGAGTTTGTGTGTGTGTGTAATTATGTGTGTGTTTGTGTGTGTGTGTGTGTGTGTGTGTGTGTGCTGTCTATGTGCCCGCTTATGTGCGTGCATACACGTGTGCATGTGTGTATATGTATGTGTGCGTGTGTGTGAACCAGACTGAATATCACATCTAATTTTCCAATAAAAAAACGGAAGCATTTCTCTGGCATGGTTTGCCGCACGTTTGGATAAAACAGCTACTTAAGAAACCGCAACAATGTTGATCTGAATGCATGGAGTCTATATGCACCCCTTTCAACCACTCAGCTGAATTAGCTGCAGAAGGCCCTTAGGCTACTTCTGATACATGTACAATCATGTACTGAAATTTGTGCGATAGCAGTGTCGGCCATTTTTTTTTTTTTTTTTGCAACTGATTTGCCTGGGTTAACAAGCATTATATATATATATATATGGTCGGGCTCAAGTTAAAGACATACAATGAGCTGTGTGTGTGTGTGTGTGTGTGTGTGTGTGTCTGTGCGTGTGCGTGTATGCGTATGTTTTTGTGAAATTGTAATCTGACCCCGGCCGAGAAACAAGGACTCTGTCCTTACAAGCGCTTCAATTACGTCGCTATCTAACTCCCTAGTTAGTCGTAATGTCTTCCCGGCAGGGTGATTATATCGACCCCAACAACGAGAGGTGAACTGTGAAGTATAAATGTCCTGGCAACTCTAACACATCTGTCGTTAACACCATTTAAATCTATACCGTGGGCAATGGGAACTGAGACTAAGGCCGCATTCACAGCAGAAGTTGATCCGCGGACTAACAGATCTACGGATCAAATATGGCCGACCTACCTGAAAGCTTACCGCTTGATCCCCGCGGGGAATCTATCCAGTGTCCATGAAAGGGTAACGCGACAAGTTTTTACCTGGTTCGGGCATATTTGACAGGTGGATCTGTTATTCCGCGGATCAAGTTGTTCTGAATGCGCCTTAAGCCCGGGCTAGTTACATAGCAAGAAGGGTGGGCGAAATTTTAGACGCTATTTTTTTAACAGAGAACGATCTGCATTCAGTGTATCTACGCGTCAGAGCTTATGATTAAACGTAACGGGAAAGTCTTTGCAAAAAAAAAAGACTGTACTCAGTTCTAGTCACATTTTTTCAACTGTCCCGGCAGAAATAAAGAAAAAATTATCTGGTTCAGGCATGCAAGAAATTGAATCATCCCTCGATTATCAGCCTATTATACAATTTACAATTTCATCACACTTTCCAAGTATTTAATTCGAAAATATTCCCAACCTGCATTGTCATCATGGATTTACTAGTTAAAACCACCCCCAGTGCAATGACGGTTTATAATTTCATTGCCATCAAGAGTTCCAGCTCTATTTGATCGTTATCACCTCAGTCAAATTTCTTGGAAATAGAAAAA